AATTAAAAAAAAAAAAAAAAAAAAGTCAAACCCATTAGTTTGACTTCAAATTATTGTTAAATATATGGAATAATTCCGAGTTGGGCCCTCTTATAAAGCATTAATCTACATGGGTTTCACAATGATTGAGCAAAATTCAACGAATTAAAATGAAAAAACAAGGACAATTTACGAAGGTGCAGCTGGAGAAGGCTTTAACACATGTAAGAAATACAAATACGAGACCGTCGGCCGCCTCCTTCTTGTTCTTTTCCCCCGAATATAATAATACAGATAACTTCCTTCACCATCCGAAATGCCTGCATCTTTGACTGCGACTGCAAAACTATTGCTCCACATTCTGACGGAGACGACAATCTTTTACAGATTCTGTGATGCAATTTTTAGTGTTAAATTGTTTTTAAAAAACAAAATAAATTAAAACAAGGATATATATATATATATATATTTTTCATTACTTTTCCAACTAATTTGTGTAATGGGCCGTTTAAATCAAATTGTCTAACACAATCTCTTACATATTAGAGATGTTACCGGCCCATGGGCCCATGGGTCTTTAATTCACACTAATAAAGGCCCAATCATCCATGGATCCATGTCAATAGCCACAAGGAATCCTTTCATTTTCTTTTTCTAAAATATATATTTAAAACTATCACAATACTAAAATAAATAATAGAAACTTATCTCTACAAATACTGATATTTATTACTAAAAAATAATATAAATTTGTCTAGATTATCTCTTTTTGGTCAATCATCCAAATGCAAACATATAGTTGTAAGACGAACACGACTCTCCACATGATATTGTTCATGTTGAGCATAAGCTCTCATGGTTTTACTTTGGGGTTCTCCAAAATGTCTCATACTAATGGAGTTAATATTCCTTACTTATAAACTTATGATCATTTCCTAAATGAGCGGATGTGGAAATTCCATCGTCCAACAATAATTTTAAGATAATTTAAATAATGTTTAACAAGATATTTATTTTTAATTTCTAATTTTGTTTGAAGAAACCATCCCAAGAAGAAAATAGACAACATTCTAAATGTAAATATATAAATAAAAGGCATTAGAGAAAATGAAATAATAATTTTTATTTCTAAAGGAAATCATATTTATGATTCTTTAATAATATCCATAAAGCTCTCCCTCTAAACAAATGATAGGAAAATGCTAAAGTTGGCAAGAAATGGTCAAACTTTTTATTCAAAGCAAATGATTAAATGGAGCGACTCGTTTTGGAATTTGGATGCTAATTATCTAATTAAATTATTCTTGTTTAGTTATTTCACTATACTCCATCTGGTCTCCATTTCAAACTTCATTGCTTGTTGAAGAGGCATTTTTATAGTTTTTAAAATTATCATTTATGGTTGACCATTTAAATTTTATTCTCTTAATATAATTTAAACGCAAGAATAAGAAGTTTATATATATTTTTACACCATTTATTGTTAAAGTTATTTATATTTTAAAATTTAATCCAGTAAAATTAAAAGTTTATACTTAAAGATTCACTTCATACATACTCCTGGAGTAAATTAAGTCCAGGTTGGTCTAATTCATTGCTTTGATTATTTCTAAATTAAGTCCAGGTCATTTCCTTAGTCTTTACCAAATTCATGGCGGTCATTATAAGGCAACCCTTTCTTAATTATTATACATTGAAGGCCTGCAACATGGAATCACTACCTCTTACTATAATATAAAATTATACCCAAAATAATTATTATACATTGATTAAATTTAACACTGCCAACACTGGAAATTACTTTTATACATTTACATATATTTAGAAAATTAGTGATAAATTCACTTATAATCATAACCCATTTTATTTAACTCCAAAATTGACCCATTAAATCAATACACACTTAGCTTTGAATTTTGAACATTTCAACGGAAGAAACCAAAGCCAGTGGATGGTTTTAATATATATCTATTTTAAATTAGCTTCCCTTTGGCTTTGAGCTTTGACGAGGTCTTTATTTCAACTCCCTGCCGTACACAAAAACACAAAGCCTCTGTTTGAAATTTTCTCTTACAATTTGACTTTTGGAGGATTAATTTTAATATATTTCTTTAACGGTTTAATTTGTAATTAGGGTCAAACTTATGTCGCTTGTAAAATGATATTGATTTACAAATTTTAATCCGATAGAGTCGGTAATGAAACATAATTATCAAGGCTTCTAAATTAATTCTACACATTTAACTAAAAGTTTAAAAAATTAAACGTGTGATCTAATTTTTATATGTAACTTTGGTAAAATTTGTATGTATTAACAAGTTAGTTTTAGAGGGTTCATATTAAAAATTAAATTGATATAAACAGTATATTTAGATTATAAATATGTGTATATATATTAATTAAATAAAAGATATAGCATCTCGCCCAAAACTCTCTCCCCACGGTCTTTGACCAAATTCCATCTATATATACACATACACCCAACGCTCCATCATTCCCAATTCAAACTTCATCCGATTCCCACTCGCCGGCGAGTTGAGATTTTCAGACATCCACGGCGACGAGTGACAAGAAAACTAAGCAATAATGGAGATAAAAAACGGCCATCAAATGAAGAAGAGCAACAAAGAAAACAAGTTGAGCCAACTGATAAAAGCCTCCAGCCGGCTGCTGTCGAAGGTCCGAGATTTCTACGTTAGGAGTCTGACGGATTGCTCGAACCACCTGGATTATGGGATGGCGATGACCGGGCCGACCAGTCAGGTGCCCACTACTCTCCCCAAGAGTTACAGCGTGGGGTCCACCGTCTCCAGCCACGGCAGTGATGACTTCAGGGAGCTTCTGAGGGCCGCCTCCACTCGAAGCTTGAGCAAGAATGTGGAACCCGATTTCCAAATCCAAGGGGCGAGGAAATCGCCGATGGCGGAAGTGAAAAACGTGCCGAGGAGCCAGAGCGTGGGGATTGGGAGAATTGACGAAGAGAAAAGTTGTGAATTTGAAGAGGATTTCAAGGTATGTAATACTGATGCGTACCCCAGAAGCAGAAGCTATGCTGTTCATAGAAGAAGACGGGTGTATTGAAATTCAAAGTTAAACCCCCAAGTGTGAAATTCTCGGTCGATTAATTTCCGTATTATGAATTATTAATTTTGGTTTTTTTTTTTTTGGGTCCAAAATGCCACTTTTAGTGCTATAATGGTCTCAAATTATGTGAATTTGGTGTCTTAAAAAAGTTTCCAAACAAACACTTTTATACCTAAAATTTTCATAATAATAGCCGATAAAGGTATGACAAATTATATTAATTTAATATTATCTTTATAATGATGTCCTTCCATCTCCGACTACCATCTTTTCCGTTGTCCTCACATGTCATTAAGTAAAAAATGTTCTTCACTAAACGGTCTTATAGCACCCACTATCGTTAATGGTTCGTCTTAGGAAAGTTGGAGAGGACTATGAAAAAAAACAGAAATGTCACCTAATTAGAACAATAATATTAAATTAGGATAATCATCTTCAAACAGTCACATCATTTTTTCTTTAGTTATCAACTAACAATTAATAGAATTCCAAAATTCTTTCTAAAAAATATATTAAGAATACTTTTTTTTATTAGAAAAATAGTTATTAATTTCAAATCTTTAAAAAAATGTACGTATTTTTTCCTTCTCATTTTATAATGTCCAATGATCAAAGTCGCAAGGAGAAAGGAATCTGTTGTGCGTTGAAGGGCACAGATGGAAAGCCGAAGGGTTGAAATTGAGACGTGCCGGCCGATTATTGCTTATTTTTATTTCCGATTGTAACGCGCTCTTCCCTTTCAATTACAAACTAATTGAAATAACCTCTGGATTTTCAACGTTATCGAGGAATTTCACTAGTTTTTTTTTTTTCTTTTCAATGAATATAATTTTTTAAAAGTAAATTTATAATAAAATAAAAGCTCACTTATAAAAACATCAACCTATATATTCGTGATTATATCGATACAAATAATAAGATAAGATAAGAAAATAATTAAAACGATTTAATATATATCATTGGTCCTATTTAAAGCTAAGAAAATAAATAAATAGATATATAATTTTTAAATGTCAATATTTTAAGGATAAATTAGTTTTTAAAAAATATATTAAACAGATTTATTATATTTGTTAATGTTAATGAGTCTAATAAATACAAAAGAGGTAGATTTGTAATTTAAACTATATTAAAAGTAAATTTGGACATTTTATTCTGGTGATTTTTACTTTTATTATTAATATCGTTATTAAAAATGATGAAATAGGGGATCAAATTAATTATAAGAAAAAGGGGATTGAATTATTCTTTCGTGTAAACGAAAAGGTTGACAATAATTTAGTATTTCTTATGAATGGGAAAATACGCCATCCTAATTCAAGGAGTGCTGCATTTATTTATTATTAT